GCTGTTTTGCTAATTAGTGGAATGTTTATTACTGGATTTTTACTTGTTCGTTGGAGGTCGAAACTGAAGCAGAAATAATCGAACATTTTTTAGTTAAGCACAGTAAACTCAAGAACTCTGTTTAATTCCTGCTTTGTTTTTGCCTTTTTTAAAAATGATAAATAATAGCACGGAAATTCATTTTTATTGTTGGATCTCCCTCTTTTTTTAGTTAGTTTTTATGTAATATTGATTATTTGCTTTTAAGGGAGAGTTGAGTTACTAACATTTTTTTGTTATTAATCACTATTTGATTCTTGATTTTACTGAAATCTCATAGAGGTACTTTAGTATTTTCTTCGTCTTTCTTTTTGAATACTTTTTCTTTGCTTAAAACTTTGAGAATTATTTCAGCAGTGATTGCGACTGTGGCCTCTTTTAAATGCCCACCAAAGACCTGAAGATTTTCATAGTTTGCTAAACTAACATGGCAGTGAACTGCTGGTTGGTTGGGATTGTCAAATTTCCAGGTAACATTACCTCAACTTGGTAATAACTCCATTTGTCCTGGAGAAATTTTTTCTGCTTTTGCCAAAGTGCCTGTTGATTCAGGTAATGAAACAGGATGATAGCCTTCTTTTCCCTTTCCGTGACCAAGGGAAAAAGCTACATGGATATCTTCTACTGAACCAATCATGGAGAATTCAGCAAAACCAATTTCGCTTTCAAATCCTTGAACAAATTCTTCTAAACTTTGTATTATTTTGGCACCTTTTTTCAAGCGAATAGCGTAAGTATGAATTTCGTTACTACTTGTTTCTTTTTTATCAAATAGATTTCTGTTTATTTTTTTTGATAATTTAAATGTCTTGACTGCTTTTTCTTTTTTTAAACCTATTTTGTTTGGTAAATCTTTTTTAGAAACCATCATATTATTTTTTTATGGTAGGTGTTATAGAATTTTGTACTTATATAGTATAAATTGCAAAGGGAACAAAAGTGATGAGATAAATGGTTTAATAATAACCATGAGAAGCGTTGAAACTTGCGTTATGAAACAAACTTAATTGATATCGTTAAGCATAATGGAACAAATGATATCTTAAACCAAATCTTTGAGGGCGAGAGAAAAAGAGTCAGTCATCAAGTAGAATTAGAACTAAAAAGAGACAAAGGCACTCTCATAATTCGAGAGGACGCAGTGGTTGGTGATGATCCAAGGTTTAGTGTAACGCGACTTGTTTTTAAGTTACTTTGCGAATACTACAAAAATCAAGAATAATCATGACACCTGAACAAAACAAAAATTTTATTCTCAATAATCTAGACAAATACCTTATTGACGGAAAAGGCAATTTTGTCAACTTAGAAAAAGACTATGAGGATAGTGATTATATTATTTGAAAAAATGAGGTAAAAGACTATGAGGAAGTTAAGGAAAGAGTTCTTAAGGAAACTATTAGAGATAAAAGCAAGTGAAAATTAATTGCCGATAAAGAAATTATTGAGGATATAATGGAATCCATTTTACTGGATAAAGAGAATTGGGAGATAGTTTATGATGACTCTTTAAGAGAGATAACTGGTTCTTTACATGAAAAATTTTACAAATATCGCCCTACTGGTGAAACAATAAGTGCCCGGATGTTTGAAATATTTGATTGAGAACAAGTTTACATCTTAAATGGAGAACTAGGACGAAGAGACCATATTTGAGAAGATTACGACCAATGAGGACATTATCGAGCCAAAGAATGATGACAAATAAGAAACTGAAAAAAAAAGAACAAAACTAAAAACCAACCACCAATAAATCCTCCTCCTATCCCTCCTCAAGAAAACCAAAAATACGAGGCAAATAAAAAAAAAGTTGAAGAGGAATGACAAAAACAACGAGAACCCTTTCAAAAAAAAATTACTGAAATCAAAGCCGCTCTCAGTGAAGAGTTTCCTTTAGCTGATAGTGATTTAAGTCGTCAGTATCAAGACTGGGAAGAACAAATAAGTAATTCAACTGACCTTCAACAAGTTACTAAATTTCAAGAAAAATTACTAGCTGATATCCAAACTCGTCGAGAAGAAAAAAAATCCACTTCAAGTTTACTAAAAAAATTTGCCTCTATTCCCAACTTCAACCGGCAAGAGAACCTCGAAGCCTTAATTGAACCAGTTAAAAATAATCCCGACTTTTTACAACAACTTCAAGCCAAGCAGATTCCTAGTTTAACGGCTTTAATTGTGGATCAATCTCCCCAAGAAATAATCATTACGGTCAAGAGATTTAAGTATGATCAAGAGAAAGAGAAAGAGAAAAAAATTAGAGCCTATTATCACTTAAAACCTAGTGAAGTCTTAACTGATAACCAAATTAATAACTATCTTTACCGAGAAGCCATTGGTCAGATTACTGCTCCTACTGAAAATCTTCATCCAGAAAGTAATCAATTAACCATTGCTTTAATCATCGGAGGAGTGAGTTTATTGGTTTTATTCCTCTTTAACCTTATCAGAATTAAGTGAATTAAATTAAACAGGAAATAGAACACTAATTTTTTTTGCTTAACTAACCTTATTGATGGAATAGGTATGGTGGCTTTATTAGGATTGAGAAAGATAAGAAAAATATTAATTAGTCTCTTTTTATTCTACCTTTCTCACTAAGTTTATATTAATATCTCTAAAATTTTTTTGTTGGCGAAAATTTTAAAAATGTATTTAATACGAAAATTAGTTTTACATGGAAGGGGGAGTTAAAAATAACGAAAAACCAGAGATTAGATTATTAAGCAAATTAAAAGATCGCTTGTTAAACTTGAGTACTAGAGAACAGAAAATTAATTTACGACTTTATCAAGGAGCGACTTATGATTTAGTTTCTTTGTTGGCAAAAACTAATAAGAAATTTATTGAAAAATTTGAATCTTCTTTGTTAGCTTCTTTATTGGCAAAAAATAGGGAAAAAGAAGTTTTAGTTAGTATTAGCAGCATTTTTCGTTTAATAGAAGACGAAGAAGAAAAAGAAAAAAGTAAAGGGAGATTAAATTATTTGCGTCGATTTAATAATAAACTGTATATCGAAAAAGGTTATAAGAGTCTTTATTTAGGATTTTTGTTTCTACGGGGCTATTTTGTTAACTCCCAAAAACTTCTCCGAGCAGTTAATGCTCCATTGTTTTTGTTTCCAACAGATTTACGCAAAGGAAATAGTTTAGATATTGTTATCTCTAAGCATAAAAAGGTTAACTATACTTTGCTTTATTTCTTAAGAAAAGAATTAGAATTAGAAAATGACGTTTTTACTCAAATTGTTACCAAGTTAGAGGAAATTAACAATGATGATTTTAAGAGTTTCTTATTTGCTTTAAAACCAATAATTTCTCAGTTGTTTTCGGGTGAAAAAATACAATTTAACTTTTCTGTTGCTCTCAATAATTACTTGGAAGAACCAAATTACTCTTTAGAAAAAATATTCGAATATCACAGGAGTCAAACCAAAAAAAGCAAAACTTCATTAGAAATTTTTTCTTCGATCAGTCTTGCCGATAGGCCAATCCATTCGCCAAAAAATTACTTAGAAGTACTTGGAAACTTTGTTATTTTTATTGACAAGGGAACTAATTTATCTCTTTTCAATGACTTTGAAAGAATTATTAAAAAATTTCAAGCAAATGAAGGAGGGGAATTAGCTGGTTCTGCTCTTGGATTTCTTTTGAAAAAACAAGATTTCGAAAAAGAAAAAAAGGAGAGTGACCATGAAAGTGATAATGAAGAGTTTAAAAAAACTATTTACAGCCCTTTTCCTAGCGATCCGTCCCAAACTAAAATTTTACAGAAAATATTTAATAATTTTTGAGAAAAAGCTCTTTGTATCGATGGACCGCCGGGAACGGGTAAAACCCAATTAATTTCTAATCTCTTGGCTAATGGGTTATTTTATGACAAGAAAATATTAATAGTTTGTGAGAAAAATGCCGCTTTGCAAGTAATTGCTAATAATTTAAATAATATCGAACTCGGTTCTTATTTTATTAAAATAAATGAATTGAATCAAACCCCGGAGGTTTTTCGGCGTATTAGCAGCATCTTGGAAGAGAAAAATCAAGGAATTGCCGACCAGGTATGAGAATTAGAGGTAGAAAAAATTGAAGAATTCGAGAAAGACCAAGAAATTTTTCTCAAAAAAATTAGTGACTATTGTAAAGTAGAAAAGAAATTTTATTCTCAACATAATATTTCGCTTTCGGAAACCTATATAAGAAACACCCACCAAGAAAATATTCCCTTGGAAATTATTGAATTAACCAAATGAGTGGAGACGGAGAAGCAATTAGCAAATCTGAAGCAGAATTTAGACAATTATTTTAAAAAATTAAGCCAACTTTTTGAAAAAAATTTCGTAATTTGTTCACACCTAAAGCATTTATTTCTTAACAGCCGACTTGGATTTGATTTTAATCTAGAAACTAAGAATAAATTTCATAACTTAATAAGTAATTTTCTAACTGAATTAGGAGGGATTTCTCCGAATAGTTCCTTGCTTTCTTCGGTAGTTAGTTCTTGTTTATTAAGAGAAATTAATGAAGAATATTCTTTCTTGCTTGCTGATGTTTTGAGAAGAAAAAGTAAGGAGGTTACTGATTTAGCCAAAAGAGAAGAATTAAATGATTTTTTTAGTTTCTTAAATCTGCAGAATTTTGTCGGATTTCAAGAGAGTTGTCTTGATGCAAGTTTTTTGAATAAGATAAATGAATTTGTCGATCAAGAATTTTTTTTGCTTGGAGATTTACATCTATTATTCAACAATTGTAATGAAGAGGCTCAAAAAAATATTTTTTATTTTTTAGAAAATAGTTTTCAGCAAAATTCCCCGCTGAATTATGATGACTATATAAAAATTACTGAAAAGGCTGTTTATTTCAATTGACTCAGTGAGGTGGAAGAAGATGAAAGTGATAAACTTTGAGATTGGAGTATTAACGAGGTAGAAAAAGCTCAAAAAAATTATTTTAAAGTTTACTGGGAAAAGTCTCACGCGTCTCAAAATTTGATTCAAAGTCAACAGAAAGAAAAAAGGAATAATTTATTTCTTGACCAAGGTTTAAGTGCTGAATTAAAAAAAAAAAGAAATCTTAATTTGCGAAAAATTTTCCCTGCTTTGCTTGCTCATTTTCCAATTTGGTTAACTACTCCAGAAACTATTTCTTCATTAACCAGTTTAGAAGATCCACTTTTTGATTATTTAATTTTCGATGAAGCTTCCCAGGTGCCGTTAGAGAAGTCCGTGCCCCTCTTTGCTCGGGCAAAAAAACTTATTGTTATTGGTGATCAGCAACAATTGCCACCCACTGATTTTTTTAAGAGTTTTTGAGCAGAAGAGGAAGAAGAATGACCGGTAGAAGAAAATCGGGAACAAAAAGAAAAAGAAACTTTAAAAGAAATTAGTGAAAGTGAAATTAACTTAGAAATTAGTGATTTGGAAAAAGGGAGTAGTTTGCTGGATTACGTAAAAAAATACTCCCGACAATCCCAGTCTTGTACGTTAACTTGACATTATCGTTCTCATTATCCGCAGTTAATTGAATTTTCTAATCAAGCTTTTTATGGCGGAAAGTTAGAAATTATTAGTAAGAGACAAAGTTGAGAAACTGAGTATTCTCCGATTGAATATCACAAAATAGATGGTCTATGAATAAATCAACAAAATGCTGTCGAAGCTAAAGCCATTTTAAAGTTGTTGAAAACTTTACCAACTGATAAAGAAGTTGGAATAATTACTTTTAATACTAAGCAAAGAGATTTGATAGAAGATATGATCGAGAAAAAAAGAGTAGCGATGAGTAATTTGTTCGTGAGAAATTTAGAAGAGGTCCAAGGAGATGAACGAGACATCATTATCTTCTCGCTTGGTTATGGTCCAAATGAAGAAGGGAAGTTTATCCATAATTTTGGCCCACTTAATCGAGAGGGCGGAGAAAAAAGGTTAAATGTGGCAATTACTCGAGCTCGAGAGAAAGTGATAGTTGTAACCAGTATTTTGCCTTCGCAATTAAATGTCGACAATGCTAAGCATTTAGGTTCGAAGTTTCTCAAACTATATTTAGAGTATACTTGAGCTTGTCAAGAAAGGGATAACAAGGAAATTGAAAGGTTATTAAATGATAAAATAGTAAAATTAGGTGGTTTTAATCTTCCAGCAGACCAAAAAAAACCCTCTCGTTTAACTTTAGCAAAAGTATTGTATGATGAATTAGTCAAATTAGGTTATGAAACTGAATTTCAAGTCGGGTCTATTGGTCGCTGAATTAATTTAGCCGTTCGTAGTCCTCAAAACAAACAGTATATATTAGGGATTAAATGTGATGGGTGAATTTGTCGGGGCGAAGAAGACCAAATTGAAATTGATAATTATCGCCAAATGCTTTTAGAAAAGAATGGTTGAAAAATAATTAAAGTGCTTTCACGAGACTGATGAAGAAATAAAAGGAGGGAAATCCAAAGAATTAAGAGAAAGTTAAAGAGTTTAGAACCAGTTAAAAATTAAAAAAGTTAAAATTATTAATAGATAAATGAGGAGTGATGGCCGAGTGGTCGAAGGCGCTTCCCTGCTAAAGAAGTAGTTGGTTTCAACTCGAGAGTTCGAATCTCTCTCACTCCGCCAAATATTATAATATAAAATATTAAATATAGTCAAAAACTATAAAAACAATATATATATATATATATATGCTAAAATAAAGAGTTTTTCCCAAAAAAAACAACAAAACAGCAACACATTATAAGAAATTATGGCAGAATTTTTACCTATTGATTTACAAAAGATTAACCAAAAAGCAAAAGGTTTTGATGACATTGTAAATTCGAAATTAAAAGCTTTCAATATTTTTAAGACTTTAGTAGATGAATGGATGGCTAATAAAAAAAAATTTGCACGAGTAAATATTGCCTATAAAAAAGTAGGATTTAGCAAACTGACCGGAAATATTGATTATTTAAATGATGAATGAATGAAAAAAGCTCACGGTTTTTTTAATGACATTTATGAGCAATTGAATGGAAAAGTTGAGCAAAATATTGTAGAAGCAGAAAAGAATGAGTTAAGGAGTAAATTTAAGAAAGAAGGAAAGGAATATGAAGAGGATATAATTGAAACAGTAAAAGAATACTGGGGGGGGCTTATGTTTACTAGGCAGGAAAAAAAAGGAAGAAAAGAAACTTCTGCTTTTAGGGAAGCATGAACGAATTTTTATATTGGTAACAAAAAAAATATTAATGAAAAATATAGAGATTTTAGAGAATTAAATCACTACTGAGGTCGGACAAATCATATCTACAAAATGTATGCGGGAATTGAAGGCTGAGAAACCGGTAAACCAAGTGGATTTGAAATGGGTGGTGATAAAGGTGCTAAAGTTTCAGGTCCTAATCCAGATGAAACTCCTTGCTACAAATGTCAAAAATTAGCGTCAACTGTTTGAAAACATCGACAAAATGGTCATTACTATTGTGGAGATTGCTGAAATATTATTCCTAATTGTTTCTGGTGTGGAGTTAAGAAGGGATGACATAGAGAAAAAGGTAAAATTTCAGGGGAGAGATTTTGTTCTCAAGGGTGTCTTGATAAATGAGTTGCTGAAAAGAAAAATCCTCCTCCAGAAAGACCTAAAACAAAACAACAGTATTTCTACGAATTAAACGGTTTGTTAGGCTGGGAATTGCTTACCGAAAGTGAAAAAGAAAAGTTTAAAGAAATGATTAGAAAAAGTTCTTTGGAATCTGATTGGAAAAAGGCTATTGGTGAAGCCAAAGTTCTGATTGCTCAAAGACAAAGACAAAGAGAAAATGAAAATGATGATGATGATGATGAGGGCGAAGATTTCTCAATGGGAGTTCAAAAAGCCCTTCGAGAAATTGAAGCCGAATTAAATAGTAGACCTAAAATCAGCGAAAAAGATATTATTGAAAGTTTAGGAAATGTTAGTTTTGATAGTTGAAAAAGTTATCTACTGGATTCTAGTGACCTTAGCCAATTAGCTGAACGAAAACGAGAACTATTAGTAATTATTAAGAGAGTTCATCAGCAAAAGAATCAAAATAATTTAGATCAACTTTTAGAGGAGGCCATTCAACAAATTAGAGAAGAACTAGTAGCACCCCCCCCTATTAAAAATGAAGAATTAACTAACCCTGACTGAGAGGATGAGATTAAAGAAGCCGCGGATGTTGGTGAAATTGAACTAATTAGAAGTAAAATCCTTGCCGAAATCCGGAACAAAAGGATAAACAATGCAGAAAAAAATAATTTAAATGAACTGCTTCTTCGAGCCCGCGAGCAACCGAATTGAAGAAATTATTTTAAATTATTCAGTATTCTCCGAGAAATTAATAAATTACATTCTTCAAATTTTTACCGAGAAAAAGGGTCAGAGATTGAAGCCATAAAAGACCAACTTCAAACATTAAATCCGGAGCAATTTCAAGAATTCATGGAACAATTATTAAACTATCAAGCCAAAGATAATGGACTAAATGATAGTAATACCAATGAGGAGGTTAAACAAGTGATAGACGAATGAAAAGCCAATCCCACCCGAGAAAATTTGGTTAAGGCTGAAGAGGCTATTTGTCGAAATGTAGCTGATAGCAAATTAATTGAACTTTGCCAAGAAGTTGAAAGAAATTTAAGCAAGAAAAAGTTAAGTAAAAAAAAAGCAAAAGCATTGATTGATAAAATCCAAGAAACAATTAGTAGAAATGATTACCAAGTATTAGCTTATGAAAAGGTCAGAGATAAAGTAGATAATTTGCGTGAACAATTAAACCAAAAACTTGACATGGAAGAACCAGAGGAAGAGCAAACTTCATTGCCAAAATGGTTCTGACCAGTGGCAATTGCTAGTGGTGTATTAGTGGCGGTATTAAGCATAGCATTATGGATAAAAGAGAGGAACAAAGAGAAGAATAGAAAGGTTCTAACTAGATCATATTAGTAAAATTAGTAATTTTTGACACTACAGTTTTTCATGGTTATTGATAAGCGTTAAGAAAATTTGAAAATAAATTAATATTATATGGAGCAGATAGATATTATTAATCAGAAAGGAGAGGTAGTAAGTAATTTCCAACTTAACTCTGAGATTTGACAAACTCCTCTTTCTCCTCACAATGTTTCTCTTTATAATCGTCATTATTTGTTTAATCAACGACAAGCGACAAGCAAAGTGAAAAGCCGCGGAGAAATTGCCGGAAGTACTCGCAAAATTTATCGGCAAAAAGGAACCGGTGGAGCCCGCCATGGTCATCGTTACGCCCCTCAATTTCGGGGTGGGGGAGTAGCTTTTGGTCCTACCGGAAAAGAAGTTTTTTCCCTAAAAGTTAATACGAAATTGAAAGAAAAAATTTTTCGCTCACTCTTAAGTGAAAAAATGCGTAACAAAGCAATAATTATCATCGATAAAGTGAAGTTGGAAGATTATAAAACCAAGGAAGCAAAAAAATTACTTAGCATTTTACCAACCAAAGAAATTATTAGGACTAAAATCCTTCTAGTGTTAGCTAATAGTGAGGAAAATAAGCAAGAGATAACCCGCTCTTTTCGCAATTTACCTTATGTCAATATTAGTGATAGTAAATCAATTAATTCCAATCATTTGTTGACCTCTAATTATCTCGTTTTTACTCATTTAGCTTTGACTGAAACCGAAAAGAGATTAAATTAAGTTAAAAATTAATTATTATGTTAATTCAAAAACCAGTTTTGACTAAAAAAAGTCAGTTGCTTCATCAAAAGAACAATATTTATACTTTTTACGTTCAGCCATCCCTTAACAAATTTCAGATTCGAGCAGCGATAGAGTCAATGTTTCGTGATTCCAAAATCAAGGTAAAAAAAGTTCGTACTAGTCGTCAAAAACCCGTTTTACAAAAAACCCGTTATTTGCAAAAGTCTCCCGGCAAAAATTATACCTCGATGCGAAAAAAAGTTTTTATACAATTGGTGCCTGGTCACAATTTACCAAATTTTTTTGAAGAAAATAATTAATTAAGTACAATATGAAAACGGTCAAACCTATTGCTAATTCTAGTCGTAATACTATTCTAGTAAACTATCGTGAGAAACTAGTTCCTAATACAGAGAAAACCCCTCGTAAACTTCTCAAAATGTTAAAATCCCATTCCGGACGTAACAATCAAGGAAGAATTACTATGCGGCACCAAGGAGGAGGCCACAAGCGAATTTATAGAGTAATTGACTTTAAACGCTACGATAAGGATGGTGTTGAAGGGTTAGTGAAAACTATTGAGTATGATCCTAACCGCAATTGTTTCATTTCATTGATAAGTCACCGCGATGGTAGTTTTGTTTTTATAATTACTCCAGAAGGACTAAAAGTAAATGATAAGATAATAAGTGGAGAGAGCGAAAATATTCCTTTAAAAGTGGGTAATAACCTTCCTTTGAGTTATATTCCGGTTAATACTTCCATTCACAATTTAGAATTGAAACCAAAAAAAGGCGGTCAATTACTTCGTAGTGCTGGTACTTATGGAGAAATAATTGGTAAAGAACCAGGCAGCAAGTACGTTTTAGTTAAATTAATGTCCAAGGAAGTTCGTAAAGTTCTAGCTAGTTGTCGAGCTACAATTGGAAAAGTAAGTAATGGTGAAGCTAACTTAGTAAAATTAGGTAAGGCTGGTCGAAGTCGTTGACGAGGAATTCGTCCAACGGTGCGAGGATCAGCGATGAATCCGGTTGATCATCCTCATGGAGGAGGAGAAGGAAAAGCGGGGATTGGTCGTCCTTCACCACTTACTCCTTGGGGGAAAAAGACTTTGGGTAAAAAAACTCGAAAAAAGAATAAATTATCTAACAAATATATCATTCGTCGAAGAAAAAAATAATTCATTAATCTGAAACAAAATTGCTACATAATGTAAGATGAGTATTTTTGAAGAATTGTTACTAATAGTAATTTTTTTTATAACTTTTGAATTGTTTTTCTTGTTTTACTTATTTGAGTTTTTCTATCTGCAGTGGAAGAAAAAGCACTCACAAAAAAAGAGGTTTAGTAATGTTGGAACAGTGTTTTTATTTTGTCTAACACTTAGCCTTTTTCTTTTACCTTTTTTAGGAAGAAATATAGTGAGTGTAGAGATAATGTACGGAATGATTATTCCTATTTGTGCCTTTTTTTTATTTATTTTTATGAGAACTTTTTATAGTGAATAGTTAAGCAAGTCAAATGATTATTGGTATGACAAAATAAAAAGTGAATATGAAGCAAAAACAGTTGTCTCGCCAAAGGATTGTAAAATAATATGAAATCTTTCGCTAACTTTCTCTTTTGGTTTTTGCTTTTTTGTAGTCTTGCTTCTTTTATTGTTTTTATATTCTATCTTTTTCATGCTTTAACTACTCAAAATCTAAAAGGATCTAAACTAACGTTTTTATTTGGTTTTTTATCTATTTTGTTTGTTCTTTTGGCTGTGAAAATTTTGTTTTGAGTAAAATAGCCTTTGTTTGGTTGGAAGTCTTAATTTTGTGTTGTTTTCTTTTTTAAGAGAGAGGGATACATTTGCAAATTTTTTTATTTTCTCTTATTTTATTAGGATTTCAAGTTTTATTTTTTTAGTATTTCTGATAAAGTAGATCCAGTTTCTTAATTCTACTAAATATTTTTAAACACACTTTTTTTATTTTGGTATTTTTTATAAAATTAAGGCAATTATGTATAATTTTACACCAACCTAAAAAACACGAGAGAAAATAAATATGCAAAGGATTAAAAAATGTTCGAAATGTAAAAAAGACTTCATCCAAAAATGGATAAACAGAAAAAAACGATGAAGTCAAATCAACGAAATTTTGTACTACACCGATGGCAAAAAATGGAATGGTTATAAACTTTTTTGCCGATCATGTTTAAAGAACTGGTTCGAGTTTGAAAGGGAAATTTTTGACAAATTGGTAGTTGATGAGTCTAGGCGAAGAATTTATTTCGCTTATCGGGGGAGTGGATCTTTCGATAAAAACGACTACTTAAGTAAGTAGTAAATATTTGATTAGAGGAAAGAGAGGGGATTGCTAGTTTTTTATTCTGAATACTATTCCAATATTATAAAACTTTAATAATATGAAGGAAAGAGTTAGTAAAGAGGATTGCAAAATGCACTCACTAGTGAAATTCTGAATCACTTGGTTTGATAAAGAAGACATCCCACTCAAAAAACGCTATTTTCATTTTTACATGTGGATGAAAAGCAATTGAAACAATTTAAGAAAGTGTTGTATCAAGTGTTGTAAAATCCTCTGAAATCAATCAAATAAGATGAAAGAATGCTGAAATATAGAAAAGGATCAAAACAAAGAAGTTAACTTTTTAACATTATGCCAATACTAAAATGAAAATGCCCCAAATGTGGCAAAACAATTATAGAAAAAGATCAAGCTAGACTTGACAAAATGGTTGATTTACACTTACAAGTTGATTGTAAGCCACACAAAACTTGTCAGAGTTGTAGTAAAAAAATTGAAGCGGGAGAAAGCTATGTAACTATAATGAGAGCTGGTGGTGAAGGTATTGCTGGTTATCGTTGTAATGCTTGTTCTTGTTCTTCCTGCCATGGAGAAAAAGGAAATAGAGAAGATGGTTTATGCTTCTCCTGTTTTATTGGGAAAAGAAATTTTGAAAATGCTAGGGATGATATGAATAGAATATTAAAAATACAAAATGAAGCCCATGAGAGTCGGATGAAACATCTTAACGAACACTTAAAGAGATTGGAAGAAATACAAGCAGAGAGAGAGAGAGAGAGAGAGTTTTGAGATACCCGAATCAGTTAGGCAAGAGACTGACAATTTAAATACTGAAACAAATGATTGTCAACAAGAATTTAATCGATTAAACACTGAAACGCAATCCCAGCCTATCCAACAAACGATTAATAACTTTAATCAGTTAATAACTAGGCTTCAACAATTAGTCCAACAGGCTGGGAATACTAGACAAAGAATCAATAACCTTTCAGAATTATCTCCGTTACAAAGGCAAGACACGGAAATTTTTTGAACAATTAACGGTCATGTTCCTTTACTGAGGTTATTATTTAATTGTCAAGAAAAACAAAACGAGTTAAACTCTTTACTTAATAAACAAGGAGGGAACAAATTTACTGATTACCTTCCTTACATTTTAGGAGGAGTTGGAATAATATTGGTGATAGGATTAATCGGGTTTGTTCTAGGGAGAAAAAAGAAGAAAAGAAATAATTACTAAAGATGCTACTGCCCGAATTTAGAAGCCTTACTGATTTGGAAAGACTTTTTCCCACTGAACAGCATTGCATTGATTACCTAGAAGCAGTTCTTTGAAATAACCAACTAATTTGTCCCTTTTGTTCCAGTCCTAATTCCAAAGTTTACAAGTGTAAGAAAAATAGATACAAGTGTAAGGATACTAGTAAGTATTTCAATGTCAAAACTAAAACTATCTTTGAAAATACCAAATTACCATTACAAATTTGGTTTAAAGCCTTTTATCTTTTTGGTCGTAAAAAAGGAAACTCTTCTCTCGGACTTGCTAGAGAACTTGGTATTAGTCAAAGATCAGCTTGATTTGTTTCACATCGCATACGTGAAGTTGCTGATTGTTCGCTTTTTAAAGTTATGCTAGATGGATTTGTGGAAATAGATGAAACTTATGTAGGTGGCAAGCAGAAAAACAAACACAAAGATAAAAAAGTTCCTAATTCGCAAGGTAGGAGTCAAAAAGATAAAGTATCTATGTTAGTAATGGCAGGAAGAAATGGTAACGTAATTGTTCAAGTAGTTCCTAATGTTCAAAGAAAAACTTTAGAACCGATAATTGAGAAATACGTTAAAAAAGGAGCTAATGTTTCTACTGATGAATGAAGGGCTTATAATGACTTAAGTAAATGATATAATCATCAGAGAGTTATTCATCGAATTAAGCAGTTTGCCAGTGGTTGAGCTTCGACTAACTTGGCTGAAAACTTTAACTCTCATCTTAAAAGAGGTATTTGTGCAACTTATCATTGAATAAGTAGAAAGCATTCACAGAGATATGCTGATGAGTTTGCCTTTCGTTATAATACTCGAAAATATAGCGAACAAGAAAAACTTGATTTAATGCTTCTGTCAAGTGCAAGTAAGCGTTTAACCTATAAAGAATTAACCAGTTAAAAACAAATTAAGTATGAACGAAAAAAATAAAATTCTGTGTGATGGATGTGGAATATACACCGACTCTTTTTTTATTACCAAATATAAAGATGGTAAAAACTATTGCAGTACTTGCAAGATAAAAGAACACTTGGCACAGCATGAGAAAGAAAACTTATCAAAGGAATCAGAATTTGATAAAATAATCAAAGTTGCTTTAAATACTCCACCTTTAAAATTAAAAGACCTTAAAGAGAAACTTAAAAAAGAACGAGAAGAAAAACGAAATTCTGAAAACAAGAAAAACTCCAAATAATTCTTTTAGTGTAAAATTATACATAATTGCCAAAATTAATTATTGTTATATGCCTGAAGAGAAACATAAATTATCTAATATTCGTAATATCGGTATCGTGGCACACATTGATGCTGGTAAAACTACTACCACTGAAAGTATCCTTTATTTGACCGGAGAGACCCGGAAAGTTGGAAAGGTTCATGAAGGAGACACGGTAACTGATTTTGATCCCCAAGAAAGAAAAAGAGGAATTACTATTTACTCCGCAGCAGTCGAGTTTTTTTGAGAAAGATTGCAAAAAAATTATCGAGTTAACCTTATCGATACTCCTGGTCACGTGGACTTTACAGCAGAGGTGGAAAGATCTTTGCGAGTGCTAGATGGAGCTGTAGTAGTCCTAGATGGAAGTAAGGGAGTGCAAGCTCAAACCGAAACTGTTTGAAAACAAGCTAATAAATATAAAATTCCGCGCTTAATTTTTGTCAATAAAATGGACAATGCTGATAATGAGGAAAAGTTTGATGAATGCTTAGCAAGTATTAGGGAAAGACTTAATGCAATTCCTTTGCCGGTTCAGTTTCCTATTGGGGTTGGCAAAGACTTAAAGGGAGTGGTTGATATTGTAGAACAGAAAGCCTACTATTTTCAGACGGGGGATAGAGATGAAAATTATCAGATTAAAGAAATTCCGTCCAACTTCCTGGAAAAAACCAAGCAATACCGTCGAAAATTACTTGAAGGACTTGAAAAAATAACCGAGCAGGATGAAGAACTGGCGATGAAGTATTTAGAAGGTCAGGAGTTGCAAACTGAAGAAATCAAAAAATTATTACGTCAAGCAACTTTAACTGGTAATTTTTTTCCTTTATTTTGCGGTTCTGCCTACCGAAATGTGGGAGTAAAAATGGTTCTAGATGGGATAGTTGATTATTTACCTTCTCCTTTAGAAGTGGATGAAATACCAGTTTTTTCTCCGCAAAGTAAAAAACCAGAAGGATTAATTAATTGTAATAGTCCAGTAAGTTGCTTAGCATTGGCTTTTAAGGTAGTAATCGATGAGTATAACAATCGGTGAACTTTTCTTCGCGTTTATGCCGGAAAATTGTCAGCTAATTCTTACGTATGGAATGGCAACATTAATAAAAAGGTTCGAGTTAGTCGGTTAGTAAAGATGCACGCAGACAAAAAAGATGAAATCAAAGAAGTGGGAGCGGGAGATATTGCGGCAGCAGTCGGGCTGGAAAGCACAGTTACGGGTAATACGCTGTGTGGAGAAGATAAAATTTTGTTACTGGAAGCAATTGATTTTCCTGAAACGGTAATTTCCCAAGCTATTGAGCCAAAAACTAATGAAGACAAGGATAAGTTGCGAAACGGATTAGAAAAGTTAAAAGTTCAAGATCCTAGTTTTAAGTATTGGATAGATCGAGAAACTGGGCAAATGATTATTGCGGGAATGGGCGAGTTGCATTTAGAGATTTTAGTAGAAAGGTTAAGGAGTGAGTGCAAAGTAAATATTGAAACTAAGCAGCAAAAAGTTGCCTATCGTGAAACTATTAAAAACAAGGATAGTGTTAAATATTTACATAAAAAACAGAGTGGGGGTGCTGGTGAACGAGCTGAAGTTCACTTAGAATTTGAACCTAATCCAGGAAAAGGTTTTGAATTTATAGATGCTATTCGAGGTGAAGATATCCCGAAGCAATTTCGCCCAGCGGTAAAAGATGGCTTAGAGAATGTTTTTTCTCGCGGGGTTCTTTTAGGTTATCCAATAGTTGATGTAAAAGTCACTCTTCGCGGGGGAGGTTGACATCCGGTAGATTCTTCTTACCAAGCTTTTGAAAGAGCTGGTTATGATGCTTTCAAAGAAAATACTGAGAAGTTTAAATTAACTTTATTAGAACCAATTATGCAAGTTGAAGTAAGTACACCGGGTGATTATTATGGTAATGTCTTGGGAGATTTAAATCGGCGCCGAGGAGAAATTGAAAAAGAGGAAGAAATCAGTCAAACTAAGAATTTATATGTGAAAGTTCCTTTAGCGGAAATGTTTGGTTATTCTACACAGTTGCGTTCCCTGACTCAAGGCCGCGCTAGCTATTCGATGTATTTTTCTCATTATCAGGAAGTTCCATCAGGTATATTACAAAAGATAATGAAAGAGGAAAAATTGAGTTAGATTTCGCTTTCTCGAAATTCTTCTTCATTTGATAAAGGAAAATAAAATATAATAATATAGAAAAAATAATTTATGGCAGAAAAAGTAGCACAAAAATTTGATAGGTCAAAACCTCATATAAGTATCGGTGGTATTGGTCATGTTGACCATGGTAAAACCACTCTAATTGCCGCAATAACTAAATATTTAGCGGAAAAAGGGCAAGCTAAATTTAAAGATTATGGTGAAATTGATAAGGCTCCGGAGGAAAAAAGCCGAGGAATTACGATTAGCACCTCGCATATCGAATTTGAAACTGAAAAGCGACATTATACTTGAATTGATTGTCCAGGGCATGCTGATTACATTAAAAACATGATTACCGGTGCTGCTCAGATGGATGGAGCGATTGTAGTAGTAGCTGCTAGCGATAGTGTAATGGATCAAACCAAAGAACATTTACTCTTAGCCAAGCAAGTAGGAATAAAATATTTGGTAATATTTATTAATAAAGCAGATGTAAGTGACACTGAAACCATGGATTTAACTGAAATGGATATTCGTGAAAACTTAGCCAAGCACGGATTTGACAAGGACAATACTCCAGTAATTAGAGGTTCAGCACTTTGTGCTTTGGAAGGAAAAAAGCCAGAAATCGGAAGAGAATCCCTTGCTAAATTATTAGAAGTGGTTGATAATTACATTCCTACTCCACAGCGAAATTTGGATGCTCCCTTTAAAATGTATATTGAAGATGTATTTACTATTTCGGGACGAGGAACTGTAGTAACTGGAAAAGTAGAGCAAGGTATCTTAAAAAAAGGTGAAGAAGTAGAAATATCTGGTCTAGGTAGTGCAGCTATCAAGACTACTGTTACTGGTATAGAGATGTATCATAAAGAATTAGACGAGGCTCGAGCAGGTGATGATGCAGGAATTAATTTGCGAGGAGTTAAAAGAGAAAATGTAAAAAGAGGACAACTTCTTTCTAGACCAAGTAAGTCCGGAGAAAATAAGCCTTGTAATAAATTCATTGCTAAAGCTTATATATTAAGCAAGGAGGAAAGAGGTCGACACACTAGTTTCCAAAGCGGTTATTGCCCCCAATTTTATTTCGGTACAGCTGATACAACTGGAAGAATAACCTTAGTTAAAGAAAACGAAGAAAATACTGAGGACAAAGATAAAGTAGTAGAACCAGGAAGCACAGTTACATTCAGGGTCGAACTAATTAAGCCAGTAGTTATTAAGGAAAAGCAAGATTTCATTATTCGAGAAGGCGGGAATACAGTAGGTCGAGGAATGATTCTAAAAACTGTTGAATAAGAAATCTAGAATAACGATCTGCTAGCAAAAAACCAAATTTCAGAGTGCTTTTTAGATTAGAGAATGGCATAACGTTTGCTTTATTTGGTTTGTTTTTCGGCTTGGATTTTTAAGTTTTAAAAACTTAGATAATTCCATTTAATTCATATTTTTAGTTTATAGGTAACAATGGAAAAGAAGTTAATTTCCCAAGCCAAAAAGAATCTCCGTGATTATAAGATAATTGAAAGTTTTATAGCGGGGATAGTATTGACTGGCAATGAAATAAAGTCACTTCGTAATTATCAGTCCTCTATTAATGAGGCTTATGTTTTTCCGCAGCAACAAGAATTGTATATTATAAATATGCATGTTGCGGCTTATAAATATTCTCATGCGGTTAATTTAGCACAAAATCACGACACTAGAAGACGAAGAAAATTGTTACTTAAAAAAAAAGAAATTAACAAAATAATCGGTCAAGCAAAAGCTAAAAGTTATGTAATTATTCCGCTTAAACTTTTCTTTAATGATAGAGGTTGAGTAAAACTGGAAATTGCCCTTGCACAACATTTAAGAAAATATCAAATCAGGGAAAAAATTAAAGAGAAAGAATTGAAGCGAAAATTAAAAAACGAGGTCCTTTTTTCAGTAAATGTGGATAAGTTCTTTAATACGTGCTATATAACTTAAGAAAATAAAATAAAAAACCATTTATGGAGAATAACTGAGAAGCTATCAAGAGAAAAAAAATCGAACAACTCGAAAAAAGATTACAAATTTTCACCAGCGAATTAGAGAAAATTCGTAGTAATCGGATTTCTTTAGAATTAATTGGAGGATTAATGGTGGAATATCAAGGAGAAAAAAAAATGATAAAATCATTAGCTAGTTTGAGAGTTTCACCTAGTCATGAGTTAATTGTTCGTGCCTTTGATTCAAAATTAGTTCCATTGATCAGCAAAGTGATCTTAAATAATCAATTGGGGTATAAGGTGGAGAGAAGCACTAAAGAAGAGATTTATTTTACTTTGTTACCAACGACTGCAGAAATTCGCGAAGGACTTATTAGAAATGTAAAAATGATAACAGAAGAAGGAAAAAAGTCCTTTCGTCTTATTCATCAAGATATAAAAAAGTCCTTAAAAGAAGATAAAGGTTTATCGCAAGATCAAAAACGCAGTTATGAGAAGCAAAGCGATAAATTGATTAAGGATTATCAAGATAGACTTGTTTTAGCTGAAGAAAAAAAAATTCGTGAATTAAATTCATAATATATTAGTTCAATTCAGTAAAATAATATATATATATATATATATATGGTTAATAACATAAGTAAGCAAAAAATTACTAATTATTTAACTTTGCTAAAAAGGGAGGGAATAGTTATTAGTGATGAGCAGGAAGGAAAGCTGAAAGAGATAAATCATCGTGCTTCTTCTAATTGACTAATTTTTAATTCTCTTTCTCTTAAGCAAATTGAAGATGAGAGACCAATTCATAACTCATATGCGGGAGATATAGATGTTTTCGATAAAATTTATGATTGAAAAATTGAAGAAAGTGTTCCTGAGCAGTTTTTTCAAGCAGTATTTGAAAAAGAAATGACGGGGGAAATGGTCGGAGATGAAGATCATCAGCAGCCAGTTTTGAGAAATGTTGGATTTACGGGCATTGCACCTATCAATAATGATTTTTTTATTAATCTTAATCGCCAATTAAGGGAGGCTAGTGATGAATCAGAAGTTCCTCGGGATGGAGATGGTAAGTTTACATATAGAGTTGTAGGGGTGCCAAAAATTGATCGCGATACTGGAAACCAAGTTTGGACTGATGAACAGCCTTATTATTTGGAAGATGAAAATGGAAAGGTTATTGGCGAAGCAACCCAACCTGACGGCGAAATAACTGGAAACTTCCCATATTATAAATTGTTAAATACGTCTAATAATACTTTAATTAAGTTGCCGCAAAGGATGGAAAAAGTGCTAACTGATAGTTTTGGAATTGAGCATGAAGAGTTTGAAGAATTAATCAAAGGATGTGTAGAAAATTCTGATGATTTTGCAGACAATATCCATCGTCTTCAGTTTAGAGGTGATAAGAATTCCTGGCCAAAGCCAAGTATTAGAGAGTGAATTGCCGTTAGAAAAGATCTCATTGAAGGTGGCTATTCAGGTTTTGTTACCTCTATTTATGAAGATGGAGAAAAGAATTGAAAAAAAAGAACTTCTCTCGCTGAACTTTTGAATATTCCAGAGATTAGAGATAGTATTACTGGTGATAATAATAATCACCAACCAAAATTAGTCAGTATTGAGCAAATTGAAGATTTTAATGAAACATTAACGGGTTTAGAGTTTTCTACTAATTATCGTAAATTTTATGGGAAGGTTTTAGGAAATGGTTTAGAAAGGCAAAGAAAACTTCAAGAAATAGATGAAGTCCTTTTTAAAAAAGTAAGGAATAAAGTTAATGATTTGAAAGATTTGAAAAAATTAGTTTTGGGAGACACTGAAGAGATCAAAAATGATAAAGAGGAGTTTAATGGTAAAGAAATGATAAAGAGAGTTGAGTTGGCGGAATTAATGAAAGAACTATTAAAAAAAGAAAGAGAAGCAAATCCTAATAATAATCATGAAAATGATAAACAAGGAAACGAGCAGGTTTCGGAGTTAGAAAAGGCAAAATTTATTGCTATTCAAAGAATTAGACAAGAATTAACTAAAGATCCAGAAATTACTGAACAGGAATTAGAAGAAGATAAGAGAAGATGAAGGATATTGATTAATAATAGTAATGAGGTTGAAAAAATAAATGATATTAAAGAAAAATTACTGGCTTATATTTTTGAAAAGAGGAAAGAAAAATCATCTGAAAAAAGAGTTGCTGAATTAGTAGAAAGAGGTGAGAGAATAGGAGATTATGAAGAACTAAAAATTTTGATTGGGAAGATTGAGGAGTTTCGTGGCTCTCCGATTTATCTTTCTTTAAAGGATAGAATAAAGAATTTAAAAGTTAAGTTAGCTAATAATGATTTACAGAGTTATCAACAAACTAATTTAAAAATGATCGAAGAGGAATTATTAAAATGCGGGGTAAAGACTGAAGAAATAGATCAAGCAGCCCAAAAAGCATTTGATAAATTAAACACAGTAAAGGATTTGCCGGCGGAAGAGATTGATAATTCGAAAGAAATAATTAGTGTTAGTGTTAGAACAAAAAGTGCTGAAAAGCAATTAGATAGATTTATTAAACAATTTGATGATGGTCATGATAAAATTGCTAAAAAAAGAGCAAAGAAAAAAATTCTTCAATTTATTAGTAATAAAAACACTTTTAATCAAAAAGCAGCAGTGATGAGAAAGGAGAAATTAGATGCGATCCTCGGAAATCATAATCAAGAACTTGATCTTTCTCCTAGTTTTCCTTGAATTATGGTTATTTCGATTTCTCTTCTCACAGCGTTTATTATGTGTATAGGAGTAATAATTTATCGAAAGCGAAAACAGAGCAGAAATTATTAATCTAACTTTTTTCGTAGTTTGAGAAGAAATTTTTTTATGCTCTAGGTTAATTCCCTTTAAATCATTCTTTTTTTATTGCTTTTTCTTCCTTATTTGAAGAAAGAGTAAAATTAAATTATGAAAAGAGTCAAAAAACGACTTCAACAACTCCCGTCTCAACAGCTTTTGCAAGAAATTCAGGAATACATTGTTAACAGGCCTAACCACAAAAGCGAAACAAAAAAGTGGATACATTATTCACTATTTCTTTTATGCTGAAAAGTTGGATTAAGAGTAAGTGAAGCAATCAGCCTAGACTTAGAGTTAAACCATCCCGAACTAGAATATAAAGATCTTTATTTGTTAAGGGGCAAAAGGAAGAAGGATCGTTATGTTTACATTGCACCGGAGATAGTAGAAATATTAAAAAAATATGGTTGAAAACCCGAGCAAACTAATCGCCGAGACTTTTGAGAATTTTTAAACCGAGTTCGTTATGACTTAAATATTAGTTCTAACATCGAGTTAGCTCCTCATACCCTTAGAAGGTGTTTCGCTACTTATAATCTTTTAGCTGGAATGCCCTTAAACATCTTGCAAAAAGTTTTAGGTCATAGTCGAGTTTCTACTACCTCTTTATATATTAAAGACAGCGACATCGCTAATTTATTAAAATTTAAGCCTATCTAAACAGAAAAGTTAGAAACAATGCACAATCTTGAATTACTTTACTTCTACCTAGTAACTATTGCTTACGATGGAAGTGATTTTGCTGGTTGAGCTGTCCAACCCAATAAATTAACTGTTCAGGGATGTATTGAAGCAATTTTAAACAAAGTTTTTAATAAAAAAGTTAGTATCTTAGCGGCTAGCCGCACCGATAAAGGGGTTCATGCTCAAGAACAAAAATTTACTCTACGACTTAATTTGAGTTTTTCCTCAGAAAAGTTATTCAATTTATTAAAAAAAGCCTTTGGTGGGGTTGTTTTAGTAAAAAAGGTTCAAAAAGTAGATAACAATTTTCACCCTATTCGCAGTGTTTTCAATAAAGAGTATCGTTATTTTATTAATGTTGGCAAGTGCAATATTTTCCAAAAAAAGTATCGTTGAGAGTATAATTTACCACTCGAAGTTGAAAGGCTAAATGAAATTCTTCAAACTTTTCAGGGTAGACATAATTTTTTCAATTATTCTTACTGCCGCTGACGAGAAAAAGAAAAAATAAATACTGAACGAGAAATCACCTCTTTAAAGTGTTGAAAAAGCAAAAATATTATTGTCATTGGCATTATTGCTAAAAGTTTTTTGCGCTACCAAATTAGAGCAACAATTGGTGAAGTTATTAATTGTTATGAGGGAAATCAAACTATCAAAAGTTTACGAGAAAAATTAATTAACTTCGATAAAGAAAATTATAAGTATAAAAATCTTGCTCCAGCGAGTGGCTTATATTTATGAAAGGTTAATTACGAGAAATAAATAACGCACCATCTTATCAAATAGTGAAAAATTAGTTAACTTATATGGAGTGAGAAAACTACTGAGTTAAAAGTAAAAGTGTTTGGGCAATACGCTCGGCTTTGGTCTGTTTTCTAATAGTTGGTTGGGTCTGAAAGCAGGAAAAGAAAAAGGTTTATTATTCGCTTCGCCAGCAAAAAAAACAAATCCTCCGCCAGGTGGTTATTTCTTTGGGCTTTTTTGCTCTTTTTCACTTTATCCTTAAATTTTTTTGGTGGTTGCTGATTTCTTCAACCAGTCTTCCGCACCAGTCATCCATAATAAGCAGTTCGATTAAGGTTATTACGGATATTAAGGCGGAAAATTTCGGAGGGTTAGTTGGAATATTGGCGGGTATGTGTCTTTTGGCTCCAATTGTTGAAGAATGTATTTTTCGGTATTTAATTTTTTCCCTCTTTGGTAAAAAAAATCCCCTAGCTTATTTTTTCTCCTTTTTTGCTTTTATTCTAGCTCATTATCATTGGGGAGAAAATATTCCGGTGCTCTTTCTCCAATATTCAGTAGCCGCAGTCGGATTTATTTATGTTTATAAAAAAAGTAATTGGAATTTGCTAGTCCCCATGTTGCTTCATTCGTTAGTTAATTTATTATTCATTACCATAATTCTAATTAACCCCAATTGTTTTTTAATATAGAGGAAATTTTATGATTAGTTTTTAATGTTCGATAACAATAGTAATAGTCTTGCGATTTTTAGTCAATTTTTCTACTCTTTCTTTTCACTGTTCGCGATTATTTTTGTCCATTGAGTTTCAAGCTTCATCCAAAATTAAGATTTGGGTAGTTCTTTCTTTATCATAAAAGATATAATTATTTTTTAAAATGGTATCTTCTAACTCCTTGATTTGCTTTTCTCCTTCGGAACCATTTTTTAATAAAGTTTGATTTGAGGAATAGGCGATTTGCTTACGTCAGTGTTCTAAATTAATTTCCTGTAATTCATGATGGTTATTAATAACAATTTCTCCTTTTTGAGGTTTCAATAGTCCTAGAATAAGCAAAATAATAGTAGATTTACCGGTACCATTTCGCCCTTCCAATTTGGTAATTTCCTCTGCCGTAAAGGTTTTGTTAAGGTTTTTTAAAAGATAGTTTTTTTGGCTAGGATAGCGAAAATAAATATTACGTAATTCAATTTTTTTAATTGGTTCTAAAAACCGAGGTTTTGCTTTTTTCTGCGGTGTCAAAATTCTAGTTATTTGATAAAAGTCAACTAGACGGTGATTGGAAGCTAGTACGCTTGGCAAGTCTCAAGTGGCTACTAAAACACTTTTTAGTTGTTTGAGAGCATTATCGGTTAAGGTGGCAGCTTCAATGTTTAAAGTAAAGAAAAACAGAACTATTCCGGTAGCTCGGGGCAGAAATTGACTAGGATAAACCCCATTGGCCACAATTAAAGTTTTGTCTTTAATCCTCTTTTTAATATTCTTTTTTATTACTTGTTTAACTTCTTTTAAGAAAATTCCGCTTAACTCTTTCTTCTTCAATAATTCAACATTGTCCAATAAATTATCAATTTTTTGATTCTCTTGTTCTAATGCTTGCTTGAATTTCTTTTCCCTTTTCATTATTAGCCATTGTAAGGAAGCAACTAAAAACAAAGTAAAAAATACTGCTCCTAACACTATCAAAATGCCTTTTTTATCTTGTAGAGAAATAATGGTTAATCCAAGGGTAAGTAAAGTATCCGCACTTTGATAAAAGATTTGGTTAAAGTTTTGCCCTTTATTACCACCAGCAAAGTATAAACTTAACAGAGGAATATCTAATAAAAGAATATTCCGCATCTTGTTTTTCATTGCTTGGGCTTCTAAATAAGGAAGTTTGATGTAACGGGTCAGGGAAATTTTAATTAATTGCTCCCGAATTTTGTCTTCCAACACATATCCTAAATACATGTGAAGATAAGCCAAATGAGTGTAAACTAGAACCGCAACTAAGTAGCAAATTATAAATACATTAAAATTTAGTTGGTAATTTTTCCACGGTAAGGGAAAAGAAAAAGTGCGACTTTGGATAATTTTTCAATTCTCGGCAAAATCTCCTCTATATTTTAGTCCTTCGAAAACTTTTAAACCAGTCGTCAGTAAAAAAAATTTTCCAAGAAGTGTTAGAATGGTTGCTACCCAATGGGCTAATATTCACCATTTTAGTTTTTTCTTAATTATTCGGAAAGTAAAATTTTGATTTAAGCCATTAAGAAAAAAAACGGCAAAGAAAGTAAGAAAAAGAAAAACTAAAAAGAAATTCATATTTAAGTTTATTTTAAAACAGTTTAGAGAAGTTTTTCAATTATTCCCATTATTCTGCCACTGATAAACCTCGGACCCTCCTTCGCGTCCCCATCATTTATTTTAATTTTCAACTCTTCATTTTTAGTTTTTAAATAGTTAATTATTTTTTAATAATTACCTCGTCCAGTTCAGCAATTTTTTAAGTTCCGTTTCTTTAAACTTAACTTTTATTGTTTATTTCTAATTTTTTCGCTAAGTTTTTGCTTTTATACTTTTTTATTAGTGATTTAGCACTATTTTTTATAATTTGCGTAAAAATGTATTCGCTTGTTAATTTTCTCTGTTTTTTTCCTTGCTGGTTTCATTAGAGGAGTTTTCTTTCTTAGTTTTGTTGTCCGTTAAGGCTAAGAATAAAAAAAGAGAAGTTACTTAATTTCTGGTAAAAGTAGATAAGTATTATTACATAATACTTAATATTTATTTCTGTCCTTTTAGACTAAATAAAGCGATTATTTCCTACTTTTTGAACTCATTTTGAGAGGAATAAACCATAAGTTAGACAAATGTTAACTTTATTCCTGACTTAATATGCCATTTTGAGAGAATTAAATTTTTAGAGGGGGAAAAACCTATCTAAGGAGAAGTTTAAGCAAAAAGCAAACAAAAATAATCCCCGAATAGGAAAATAAAGAAAGATCAAAAATTTAATAAAATTATCGTTGATTATGCTAACAAGAACAATTTTCGCCATAATTGACTACTATTTGGATTGTTTTTTTTTTTTTTTGCTATAAAATATAATAGTGATAGAAAGTAATAGAATAGAATATTATGGCAGACCCAATCAAAATTAAATTTTACCACCAAGGTAAGGACTATTATGATTTTACTAATTTTGCCAAGGGATACCCAATTAATTTTCCGCAAATTAGTGGTTGAGAAAATTTGTTAGGAAGTTGACCCAGTGCTGAGCATCTTTTTCAGGCGGCCAAGTTTGCTAACTGACCTGAGTGTGTAGCAATATTTAAAAACTTGGATACTTCACAAGGAACTCGGAAAGCATTCCAGCAAGCAGTCAAAAAAGCAAAGCAAAAAGCGGGCAAACCATGAATTCCTAGCTGGCATGGTTCTGGTAGCGGTAGTTGAGAAGGAGATGGGAGCAATGCTAAAAAAATAGAAATCATGCGGTTAATAGTTAGAGAAAAATTTAGCCAGCACCCAAAATTGAAAGATTTATTATTAAAAACCGGAAATAAAGAAATAATTGAGGACACCGAAAGTGATACTGCGAGACCAGAAAAGGATAGAGACAACTGTTGAGGTAATGCTAACAATGGCATGAACTGATTAGGAAAAATACTAATGGAGGTGAGAACAGAGTTTCAAAATGAAGGACCTCCCCTTGACCCACTTAAAGACTTAAAAGATAATATCATAAATCAGATTAATCAGAAAATGGCAGCAGATCCTAAAATTAAGACTTCTGAATTGAAAGACGAGAATCAAAATTATAAAGATGACATCCAAAAAGCTACTCAGAAAAATCAGATTAATGGTATTTATAATGAATTAAAAGCTGATATTGAGACTAAACGAGATAAAAAAAAACTTGCGGCAAGTTTTCAAAAATTAATCAGTCAAGCTCAGCAGGCTAGGCAAACTGATAATAGTTCTAGCCTCGCTCAATTACTAATGCAGATCTATAATTATCAAGGGGACAGCGGGCTTTATTCTCAGTATGAGAGTGAAATTAAGCAGTGGGAAACCTATTTAAATCAACAAGGTGCTAATGCTTTTAAGGATTTAAAAATTAATGCGATTAATGATTTACTCCAACAAGAACCAAAAGTAACGATAACTGAGTTAAAGGAAAAAAGTCGTGATTTTCAAAGAATTATTTCCCAAACTAGTGATTTTACTAAATTGAACCAGTTTGAAAGCCGAGTCAGGGATAATGTTTTTGAAGTAAGGACTGAGAAAAAATTTAGCCAACTTCTAACTAGTGCTCAAAATGCTAAATCTGAGGAGGAAAAATCCTTAGTTACTCAGCAAGTTTATAAATGACGAGATTCTACGGACAAGTGAGAAAGTAAGATTTGGCAGCAGAGGAAAAGTGAAGCGGAGGCCTTTCTTAATAAGTGAAGTGGGGGTAAGGACAATGATAATAATGATGAAAATGCTAAGGACGAATCTCATTGATTAAAGCAAACTTTTCAGATTGCCGCTGTTGGTATTTCCTTAGTCTTAGTTATTTGATTGCTAGCAAAATTAGTAAAGAAAGAAAGGAAGTTTAAATAATACGCCGAGAAAATTTTAGTTTTGAGAAAAGAAGTACTTTTTTAACATTTGTGGTGTTTCTAATTTATTTTCTTTTTCGTTATAATAATACTCACAGAGCGTAACGATTAGGCGGTCAATTGCAAGGGCTGAACCATTAAGGGTGTGAGGATAGTATTTTTCTCCTTTTTTGTTTTTTGCCCTAATTTGAGCACGACGACTTTGAAAATCTTCACAATTACTACACGAAGAGATTTCAAGCCACTTTTTGCTGACTGGCAATCAAACTTCAATATCAAAAGTCTTAGCAGCTGTGAATCCTAATTCTTTATGACAAAGTTCAATTACTCGGTGCGGAATCTTTAACAGGTGGAGAATATTGCGAGCATCATTCAGCAATTTTTCTAATTCTTGGTAAGAATTTTCTGGTTTGGTTATTTTTACTAACTCAACCTTATGAAACTGATGGAGGCGAATTAACCCTTTATTTACCTGACCCGCGGCCATTCTTTCGGCTCGAAAACAAGGGCTATATGCACATAAATTTAAGGGTAAATCCTCTTCAGATAAAATTTGGCCTTGATAAAGATTGACCAAACTAACTTCGGCAGTGGGAAGGAGGTAAAATCCGCTTTCCTCTACTTTGTAAAGGTTATCTTGAAACTTATGAAATTGTCCGGTATTATAGAGGTTGTGAGCATTCACTAAATATGGAGTATCGAATAAACGATAGCCACGCTTGCTATTCTCGAACCTCATAAAATTAATTAGAGCATGTAATAATTCACTCCCGAACCCTTGATAGACAGAAAACTTGCTTCCAGAAAGAAGAATGCTTTTTTCTTCATCAATTATCTTTAAATTTTTTAGTATTACCTCATGAGTTAAATTATGCTTGAAGTCGTGTTGATATTCAGTGTTGTCAATAACTTTGTTGCCCTCCTTGTTAGTAGGGACATTAGGAGAAGGAAGGTTAGGTAGTTGATTAGTTAATTCACTTAATTCTGCTTCTAACCTATTTAATTCTCTTTCGTGAAAGTTAACTTCTTCATTAATTTTTTTAACTTTTTCTCGGTTTTTTATCCCGGCTTGACTTAATTCATTTCTTTTTTGTCCCAGTTGATTAATTGCTCCAATTAATTCTTTTCTTCTAATTAGTTTTTCTTTAATAATCAGCAACTGTTCTTTACTTATTCCTCTCGGTGCTAAGTACCGGACTAAATCTTCGAAATCAGTGAAAAATTTTTGTAATTCCAACATTTTATTTTTTTTGTTCTGGGACTATTTTAGCCAACGCTTTCGCTGCCGCTCCTTGCTCGGCTTCTTTTTTTGATTTTCCCATTCCTGTTTCCTGGAAAATTATTTTCTTTTTCTTGACTTGGTCGCCTTCCTTTCATGATTGGTCTTCTAAAATTGCTTCGACTATAAATAATTGCTGCTGCTTAGGCCTCGGTCTTTTTTCTGATTTTAATTGATAATAAAGTTTTATCTTGTGAGCTTGGCAATATTCTTGAAGTTGACTTTTGTAGTCTCAGGTCATATTTTCTTTTCCTTTACTTCAGGGAAAAAGGGTGAGATTGAGAAACTTTCAGACAATTTTGCCTCCTTTTTCTATGTAAAGGGAAGCAATGAAAGATTCAAATATATCGGCTAGTATACTATCTTTATTACCTCCTTGGTTTTTTATTTCCCCTTCCCCCAGTCTCAAGTATTTCAAATTTCCTTCTTCATCCGTCTCGTTTAGTCCAATTTTTCTGCTTAAACGAGCTAAGGTTTTTTCTTGAATCATTAACTGTTTCAACTTGCTCATTTTTCCTTCGGAATACTCGGGAAAAGATCGGTAAATAAACAAACTAACATAAAAATTTAAAATACTATCTCCTAAAAACTCTAGAGTTTCGTAAGAAACTAGTGACTCTGAGTTATTTTCGTTGAGATAGGAGGTATGAGTGAAAGCCTGTTGGAAAGATTGGGTATCTTTAATACTTTCGATTATTTTTCTAAGTTGTTTCATGAGCGTAACTTATTCCTGTTTCTTTTAAATAAGGTCTTAATAAGTAATGGTTTCATTTGCTGAGATGGCAGTTTATGACGAAAATTGTTTTGGCTTGGCTTTCTCCTTTTTTGCGATAAACAACGTGGTAAACCGGAGAAAAATTTTCTAGTATTTTCAAGGCCCTATTACGATTTTCTTCAGTAAATGAATAAAGGCGAAGCAGGATCATTCGGTCGCGAGGAAAAATTTGACTAATCAGGAAAGAAGAAAGGAAAATATAAACCACAGTTGCTCACAGTCTTTCGTTGTTACTAACATAATTTAAATATCTAACAAGGATATTGCTTTTCGTTTCTTTTTGTAATTTTTCAGACCTTTGTATTAAATGAGTTTTTCTTTGTAATTTTTCTGTTAAAACTTCTGTGCTTGGATTGCTACTAATATCCACTTCGATTTTTTTTATTTCACTCTCTAAGGCATCTTTTTTTTCTTGTTCGCTTAATAAATAGTAATCTATTTCACGGGGATACTTTTCTAGTTTTGACTCGTTAACCTTGTTTTTAAGAAATAAGGTAACAGGATAATTTTTTATCCTGATTTCGGAGCTTTCTCTTAATTTTCCGTCTTCTTCTAATTTATTAGCTTGCTCCATATCTTCCTGTCATTTTTTAATGGTATTTTCTATTTTTTCTTCCTTGTTAAACGCCAAATTTTTTTCTTGAATTTCTCTTTGAAGGATGCTTTTTTTTATTTTAGGATTATCTTCTATCCAAAGAAAATTAAAGATAGTAACTAGTAAAGTGATAATGATTCCGAATGTTTTCATCAAAGCACTTATTGAAACTTTCTTTTTCTTTCGGGAAGAGAGGTGGGAGGTAAAAATTTCTAACCCTCCCGGGGTAGCTTGGGCTTGAAAGATTAGACTATAACCATAGGTATGGATGATGGCAGCAACTATAGCAATGACTATGTAATAGGGCAATGTAAAAGATAATTGACTCTGAGAACTTAGACCTTGCCAACTGCCTGGATTAAATTTGTTGAAAACGTACTCACGCAATCTAAAAAATTTAAAAATTTGGGTTCACGCAATTTGGGAAAAAACATAAAAAATCGAAGTGCTTATAATATCTAACTTAGCATTGAAAAAAAGTCATAAGGAAAGGATAAAAACAAAGTTAGTCAGTAATCCAAGTCCATAATAGATAAGGTAGTAGTTATTTCATCCAATGTTGTTTCTTCCAACAATTCATTTGGAAAGGGCTTGAAGAAATCCGTTCAGACCACTATTGTAAATACCATTAGGATCTATTAGGAAATAGAAGGTAAGGGTAGTAAAAAGTGATCCAAGGAAAACAACCGCCAATTTGCTCAAAAACTTTAAAGTTAATTCCCGGCCACTTGGCTTTTTGATTGGTTCGTGATAAAGACTGCGAATAAACGTGCTGTATCGTTTTCAGACATAAGCTTCTTGAGGATTTTTCTGTTCTGGTTGGTTTACTTTTTTTTTCATCGTTATATAATATTAGTTTAGTAAAGGAGTAGAAGGGGAAATTTGGTTGACAAAAATGAAGTTAATTTCTTCTTTCCGTAGCGAATTTTTTTTTAGAAGTTCTTCAGCGAGTAATGATAAGAGTTTTTTCTTTTGCCGAAGGATAGTTTTAACTTTTTTCCAACATTGATTAAGGATTTTTTCTCTTTCTGCTTCGATTTTTTGCTTAGTAGTTTCAGGTAATTCAGTAGCGATTTCTTCGTTGTTAAAAAAGGACCCTTGAGTGGGAATAATTCCTAAATCAGACATCCCATAACGGAAGATTAGGTCACGAATTATCTCGGAGGCTTTCTTGAAATCATCATAAGCACCAGCTGTGATTTTTTCAGCACCAAAGATTAATTCTTCACTGGCTCGTCCTCCTAAAAATGCCATAACATGAGCTAGCATTTGACTTTTGTTAATTAGATGATCATCGCCTTGATTGTCTACCAAGTCAATTCAAGTGTAACCACCGGCCATTAAACGGGGGATAATAGTAATCTTTCGCACTTTTGTTTCCGGTAAACTAGCCCCAATAATAGCGTGCCCAGCTTCGTGGTAAGCAATTAGTTTTTTTTTACTTGGAGTGAGGACTTGGCTACTTAGTGAAGGACCCATTAATATTCGGTCATAGGCTTCAAAAATCATCTCTTGATTAATTTCTCTTTTTCCTTGACGGATACTTAAAATTGAAGCTTCGTTAAGCATGTTTACTATTTGTGCTCCACTTAGTCCTTTAGTTAATACAATGATTTCTTCTAAATCAAAGTCTTTGCTTAGTATTAGTTTTCTGGTTTGTAAAATGATGATTTCTCGGCGTCCTTTTTGGTTCGGTAAGGAGACATAGATTTGGCGATCAAACCGCCCAGGTCGCAATAGGGCACTATCCAAAACGTTCAAGGTATTAGTAGCAGCTAGGATAATAATATTTTCTCGCGGACGAAAGCCGTCTAGTTCGTTTAATAATTGGTTGAGGGTAAGTTCAGTATGATTATTTCCAGAGTAACGTTTGCGGCCGATTGAATCTATCTCGTCAATAAAAATAATACAACCTTGCTGATAACTGCGGGCTTGTTGAAAAAGTTCTCGTACCCGACGAGAGCCCAGTCCAACTACCATCTCTTCAAAATCTGAGCCGGAACGAAAGATGAAAGGCAATTTGCATTCTCCCGCGACTGCTTTAGCTAACAGGGTTTTTCCATTTCCGGGTGGTCCAACTAACAAAAATCCTTTAGGAATAGTGGCTCCCTGTTGTCAGAAAACTTGCGGGTTACGAAAATAAGTTACAATTTCAGCTAACTCTTCCTTGGCTTCGTGGAGTCCCCCAATATCTTTAAAGGTTATTTGGGAAATATTACTTTCTTGCACACTTTTTTTCCAATTTTTGAAAGGATAAGCAAGAATTCCAGTAAAGTTGGTAGAAAACATCATGTCACAAAAGTAAAGGGCGAAGATTATAGAAATAAGGTAAGTTATTATGCTAAGCGATCTCTCTATATTTCATGAATTTTCGGCAAACAAATTGTCTGATTTATCTAAATCAATTTCGAGTTTGAGTATTTTTATATCTTCTATCTCGGGAAGATTTTCGAAATTAATAAACCTATTTCTAATTTCTTCTGCTTTTAAGGTAGTAATAGTACTATATAAAGTGGGCTTTTTCGCTAAAAATCTTCAAAAAGGATTTTCTTTGCTACCTAAAAGATACTGAAGATTTTTTCCTCGATAATGAGCAGCATACTTAGCACCCGCTTGTCAGTCGATTTTATTTGTTATTTCCTCCTTTGTTAAACCGCGAATCAATAATTTTTCTTTATCGCTAGGGTCTTGCTCAATTTGAAAACTTTTAGGTTGGACAGAGGAAAAATAATTAACCAAAACAACTCCAAAATATACTAATAATGTCATTATCAAAAAGACAAAAAAAGGATTGGTTTTTAAAATTTTTTTTTTCATTTCGACTAGCTATTATTATTAATTAAGTTTTTATAATACAATGGTTCAAGCAAACATTTACACGGGTAAAGAGCATTAGATTTTTAACCTTTCGATTGTCTTGTCTTTCCCTAGTAAAAAAATGATTTTTGGTAATTCAGGACCTTTCTCTTTTCCAGTTAAGGCACTCCTTAATGATAAAAATATTTCTTTTTTTTTTTCTCGAACATCAGCAAAAGTTTCTCTGAGAAAAGTCTTAACTCTTTCAACCTCTCACGCTTCGATTTTTTCTAGTTTTTTTATCAGTTTTTCAAATCATAAATGATTGCTTTGGTTCTTTACAAATGATTGCTGATTAGGTTGTTGGAAAAAATAATCGGTTAAATTAACTAATTCCTGAAAATAATTTAATTGAGGGCGGAATAAAAGGGCAATTTGGACAGTTCATTCTTTTTCTTCGACTGATAATTTATACTCTTTTTTTAATACTTGCCAAGAATACTCAGCAAATTCGCTCTCTTCTAACTTTTGAATATAGTAATTATTATACCAATTAAGTTTTTCTAAATCATATACTGCCCCGCGGGAATGCAATCCTTCTAATTTGAACTCTTTGATTGCTTCTGAAAAATTAAAGATTTCTTGGGTGGTTCCGGGATGTCAACCTAACAGCAATAAGTAATTGGTTAATGCTTGCGGTAAGTATCCCTTTTTCCGTAATTGATTAATTAATTGTCATTGACTAGTTTCTTTATCCCGCTTGGAAAGTTTTTTTCTTTCTTGGTTGAGAATTATCGAAATGTGCCCGAAAAGGGGCAGATTTCACCCAAATGCTTCATATAAAACTAATTGTTTGCCAGTATTAGATAAATGCTCTTCGCCTCGTAAAACATGGCTAATTTTCATTAAATAATCGTCAACAACGCAGGCGAAATTATAATTGGGGATACCACTTTGCCGAAAAAGCACAAAATCCTCAATATCTTTACCTTGAAACTTGATTTCTCCCCGCACTAAATCGCAAAAGGAATAATTTTGCACTTGGGGAATTTTTAAGCGGATAACGTAAGGCTTTTTTTCTTTAAAAAAAGATTGGATTTCATTTTCCGATAAATTTAAGCACTTTCGCGAATACTGGTAATTTCTTTTTTGCTTGGTTTTTATATATTCTTCTTTTTCCTGAGCCAACTCTTCCGGGGAACAAAAACAAAAATAAACCTTTTTTTTCAGTAATAATTGTTCGATATAATTTTTATAAATATCTAACCTTTGCGTTTGTCGGTAAGGACCGTAATTGCCTGATTGGAAAACTGACTCGTCAGGCTTGATACCTAGTCATAATAAGTCTTGATATAGATTATTAACTAATTCTTCGCGGTTTCTTTCTAGGTCAGTATCCTCAACCCGCAGAATAAATTGCCCTTGGTTACTTTTCGCCCAAAGATAACTAAAAAGAGCGGTGCGGGCTCCGTCGATATGTAATTCTCCGGTGGGACTAGGAGCAAAACGGGTTCTAACTAAATTTTTTTTCATGAGGGCGGGAAAAAGAAATTCCTTTTTTTTCTAACCTACCTTTAACTTTCTTTAACATTTTATGAACTCGTCAAATGTCTCAAAGGACAAAAATCAGAGGCACAAGATAACTAATAACTATTCAATCCTCAAACTGGTACGTTTGACTTCCTCTCCCTTCGTTTCTAATAAAAACTTTGATTAATTCGATAGCAATAGTTAATATTCCAAATTTTTTTAAAGTTTCCTTACAATTCTCATTCGAATTAGTATTTCTAAAAGTTAAATAATCTTTTTCTTCATCAGTTATTATGTTGGAAGCATTAATATTTTGGTTCATTTGACTAAAAGGAGATTTTAGTAGTGAGGTAACAAAGCCATCCATACAAAATAGCGAACCTTGGAGGAGTGCTGCAAGAACCACTACTCACCTAACATTTCCATTTCATTTCTTTTCTTTAAGATAAATACTGATTTTATTGTTTATAGATGCTCAAATCATATACCCAACAATATAACCAACCATTAATAAAAGCAAAACTCTTCAATATTGACGAAATTTTACTAGAATTCTTCTAAAAACTTGTTTTTCTCGTTCATCAATTTCTTTTTCCTTTATCTTTATTATTTTTCCTTTATTATTTTTTTCCTTTATTTTTATACTCATAACTATGAGAAATATATTTTACACTTTTTAGACCGTTAGTTGTCAACGTCCTTTTCTTCTTCGTTTCAAAATCACTGAATAATTTTTTCTCATTCGCTTGCGAAATCCACATTTTCTTACTCTTTTAATTTTACTGGGTTGGTAGGTTCTTTTCATATCCTAATAAATAATTTTAATATATATCAGCAAGAATGATTTGAAAACCTTATCGCTTACGTAAGAATTGGCAATTCCAAGCAGTAATTAAGGGGGGGCAGAGGTTAGCCAATCCTAGTTTTGTTATATTTTCCGTAGAAAACACTCTAGATAATTGTTTGTTTGGTATTAGTGCTCCGCAAAAATTATTAAAAAAGGCTGTTGATCGTAATTACTATAAACGGCAAATTCGTAATATGATAATCCTTCGTCTGAAAGAAAATAACGATAGTTGTCGAATAAGGAGTGTTCATCAGCACCGGAATTTTGTCATTATTGTTCGCCGCTCTTATCTGGAAAACGATTTTGCTACTAATCAGCGAAATTTGTATAAGTTATGATCTTTAGTTTACGAGAAGAGAAATTCAATAACATATGAAAAAAGAAATAAATTGACTGTTTAAACTAATTAAAAACACTTTACGAATAATTTGTGTATTTACCTTTCTTCATTGAATTTTGTTCACTACTTACGCTGGTTGCACAAGCTATCACGAGAGTATAAATAAAGCAGAAACTCATAAAGAAGAAGTTGAATACGGAAAAGATAAAAAGTACTCTATTGCAAAAATAGAAGAAAAGATTCTAGAAGAAATCGAGAAAAAAGTTAAAACCAGTGGATTAAAACGTGAATGAGCTAACAAGTGGTTGCCTGAATTAGAAGAAATGCCTAAACCTGAAACTAGCAAAGAAGACAAAGAAAATTATGACAAAAAATTAGAATTAGCTAAAAAAGAAACTATTAAAAATATTCAGAATCAACTAAGAGAAAATGACTTAGATATTACTGAACTAGATGACCAAAGGACATGGTGAAAAAAAATTTGATCTGATCCCTTAAAATTCTTTTTTATTTCTCCGCTTAACCGAATGAATAAATTTTTGAGTAAGTCACTGAATTTACAAGAACCTTTCGTATTAGAAATTGTTTTTAAATTATTAATAGTTAAACTGTTTTTTGTATTTTTCATTAGTTACTCAGAAGAGAAGAGTTTCTTAAAAGAATTGGAAAAAACGCAAGATCCTTCTTTAAGTATGGAAGAAAAAGAAAAAATTCAGCAAGAAGCTTTTCCTTTGATTTGAAGAGGAATTTTTAATTTTTTACTAACAACTATTTTAACTCTTTTTTTAGTCTTTCATCCATGCTTTGTTGATAGATCTTCCTCTCAATATTTAGCAACTTCCGCATGGTGAAAATGAGTTTTACCAATGATTTTCGTTTCTTTTGTTTCTAGTATCAGTAGTGAGTTTTTGCGCCAAGGAAGGATATTAAGGTTTAAAGAAATCCAAGAGTATTTAGCCAAAAGTTGATTAATGATTATAATTTTTGGTTTAATTTGCAATATCGCATTACCTTATTGGTTATCTAGTACCTATGGGTCTCAGGTAACTATGTTTTGTATCGGGTTGATTGACGTTGTAATTAATATAATTAGGGCGGGGATTGCTCAAGGAAGTAAAAAACCTCCCGAAAGATTAAAACAAAATTTTTAAAAGTCGGCCATTTTGTCAAAAACGACATATTGAAAATAGACCTGACTAATATATTCTCAATTTAATAGATTATCAATTAATTTTTTTACGTATTCTTCACGTCCAGTACCATAATCAAGAAAGTAAGCATGCTCTCACACGTCAATAGAAATAATGGGGCGTAGATGCAATGATCACGGGCTGTCCTGATTAGCGGTATTAATAATTGAGAGTTCGTTGTTCTTTCCCAATACTAGCCAAGTCCAACCACTTCCTCTAATTTTCAAAGCACTTTCTAGTAGCCTTTTTTTTAAGTTATCTAAATTACCAAATTTGTTGTTTATAGCATTTAACAGTTCACTACTAATCTTCTTTTCTTGGTTATCTTTCTTAATAAGATGGGTGAAAAAAAAGTTATGATTTATTAAGCCTCCGCCAAAGAAACGAACCTCATTTTTTATATCCGCCGGCAAATTTTCTAGGTTTTCCATCAATTCTTCCAAGGTTGGAAATTGTTCGTCTAATTTTGATCCTCTTAGCACCTCGTTAAGTTTAGTTTCATAATTGGCGTGCAAAATTTCATAGTGATAATACATGGTTTTGAAAGAAATTATTCATTCCAAGTCGTTAAGTTCGTACGGTAATTTAATTCTTTTATATTTATAACTATTACGTTTATAGATAGGAACAGCATTCATATGGAGTATTTTTATTTATTAATTAAGTTTGCTGATTAAATTTTACAAGTACAACAAAAATTTTGATTATTCTTGAAAAAATCTACAAGAGGAATTACGAGAAGAAGATAAAAAGACACTTGAAGAAGAAGTTGAACAATTAAAAAACCAAAACCAAAAAACTCGAACTCTTGAACAACAAGCCGAAACTCAAAAAAAACTTAGAGAAAGAGAAGAAGAGTTAAAGAAAATAAATGAAAGCAATAATGAAGAAAATAACTGAGTTCAAGAAAAAGCAAAACTAGAAAAGGAACTTAAAAAGTTAAGAGAGCAAGGCAATCAAGAAAAATTAACTAAAAGAGTTAAGGAATTAGAAGGAGTAGTTGAGCAACTCAAAACTGAAAACGAAAAGTTAAAACAACAAATCCAAGAACTCAAAAAAGAGAATGACAATACTCCCGAATATCAAGCTTACCTTAACAAAAAAGAAAATGAATTACAAGTCAAGCAATCTAAATTGCAACAACTAGAAAGTATTATTAACACCAATAATAATAATCCTTGACCAATGCCTATCCTTATTGGTCTTGGAATAGGTATGGTTGCTTTATTAGGATTGATTGTTTATAAAATGAGGATGAAGAGGACTAGAAGGTAAAATATAAGCATATGTCAGAGTCAGAAAAACTTTGTTTTGTTTGTTTAAAGCCAAAGAGTAATTGTAAATATGAACCTAAAACAGAGCGTTATTTTTGTGATCGCTGTTTAAACAATAAAAAACTTTGACCATTAAGATGTCAAGAGTGTAAGCAAACTGAAGATGAAGGAATAAAAAATGGTAAAGTTGGCTGAATTCTTCGGTGGCAAGGCTCCTTAAATGGTAAAAATAATCAATTAAAATGTGGCGATTGTTTTAATAAAATAAAAAACTAATTACTAAAAATACTTCTCAAATAAGGGAAAAATTTTTGACTACTTATTAAATTTTTCTCGAAATTGTTCGATCTGTTTCTTTAAATCAGGATCGTTTAGCATTTCTTTTAATCCTTTCCCTTCCATCTTTTTTGACAATTCTTGCTGTTTTTTAACTTGGTTAAGGAATTCTTTTCAACTTTTAATTCCTAAGGTTTTTTTGAGGGTAGCCGAGATATATCAAAACGTTATTCCAACACCAATAAAAAGGCAAAAAACGACAATTAAAATTAGTCACCAAATATTTATGTTTACCGTCATATATTTTTATTTTATCAGTTTTCTATTACAATATTAGATTAGAAATGGAAGTAGTTCTTCACAAAAGTTGACTTTTTCTTAAACAGCACTTAAAATATTTTTCTAATTCTTTTAATAGAAATTACTCTGTTATTAATATCATCAAACTCAATAATTACTCCGTTAAATTGCCCTTTGTCTTTCTCGTCCTCATGAGGAATCATCTTAGCCGGTAAACCCCGTTCTGCTCGCTTAATAATTCCTTTTGGATCAGCCCCAATAACACCCCAGGCAGGGCCGGTCATTCCTAAGTCAGTAATAAAAGCGGTTCCTTTCAGTAATATTCTTTCATCGGCAGTCTGCACGTGGGTATGAGTGCCCCAAAGAGCACTTATTTGTCCGTCATAACGAAGTGCTAAAGCAATTTTTTCCGCGGTAGCTTCAGCATGAAAATCGACCAAATGAATATCACAATCTTGCAAGTCAATTATTTTTTTTAAAGCAAAATAAGGGTTTTCGGCGGCCATAGACATAAAAGTGGTTCCAATTAGGTTAGTAATACGAATTTTTTTACCTTTAACTAGAGGAACCATAACCGTGCCCTTTCCTGGGTGATAAGGATTAGAATTAAGGGGTCTTAACAAATTAGGAACTTCGTTGACAAACTTTTGGGTTTCTTCACAGGCAAAAATATGATTTCCTGAAGTCATTACATCAATCAGTATTTTTTTTTCTTTTGTGAACTTTAACTCTTCATAATGTTTCCTAGATATTCCTTTTCCGTGGGTGGTATTTTCCACGTTCGCAATAACTAAGTCAATTTTCTCTTCTCTTTTTAATTGGGGAAGGTATTTTTTGATTACTTCTCGCCCAGTTTTGCCAAATATATCGCCAATTGCTAGAATTTTCATAATATCTATTTTTCAAGTTAAGGAGTTCAATGATTTTACAAAAATTTTAGTTTTAAATTTAAAATCAACTTTTGAAAAGATTTTTGATGCCTATTAATATTTTTCTAGGAAATCTGTGTATTAAAAGAGTTTTTGTAATTGCTAATGCTTACTCTATTTTTTTCTTTTTCTGAGAAAGAAAGCAAGAAGCAAACCAAATGTTATTAAAGTCAAAGCACCAATACCAAAATACTTCAAAGTGTTATTTTCAGGATTTGTAGTATTTCGATCTTGTTCATTTTCATTTATTTGTCCAACAGC